AAAAAAAAAAAAAAAAAGAATATAAACATTATATGCAATATGGTTAAATCTATTTAAAAACACAGCCCCTCGAAAATCTCCACAAAAAGAAAAGAGACAGAATAAAAAATACATACAAGGGTTAGCAGCTGCCTTTGAGTTGTTGGACTATAACTGTAATAATTCCTATTTTCACTCTTATCATGTACACTTACCAAAAACAATTTTCACAAGAATCTTTTTTAATAATAGAAAAAAATGTTTTAAAAAGGGAGACCTCCTTTCCTCCAAAAACTTCTGCATCTAAGCCAACTTACAGATTTTGTCTGTATGATTAGTTTGAGATTTCAAACCTATTGATTCTCTATATGAAAAGCCATGTAAGCCAATTTTCTGTCTAACGTTTGAGCAATGAATGCTAGCCTAAACGTATCTCAATATAAAGAATAAAAAAAAACCCAACGGATGTTTAATTCAAATTTATAACAGGCTATAATACGCACACAAGCTGCATATTTTACAGGTAAACTAATAAAAACAGGGTAATACTCCATATATGATGCTTTGTGAGTTAGTTATAAAAAAATACCTTGTGACACTTGCAAACAATTTCTTTTTCTTCAACAGTTGTATTGATCAGGTAAGAAACATACACGAGAAACATTCTTGAACCCACTGTTCCACAGCGAACATATAACATTTTTTCCAGCTATAACAAAAAATTGTTATAATTTCATCAATATTATGGAGATTTCTTCCTGATATTAATATATATTTTAGGATAATGCACCCCACTTTCTAGAGTTTACTATTTTAACTGACTAAATTCTTTATCACTTTCATAGGATGTTGTAGTGTAGCTAATCAAAGCTTCCACTGTGGAAGAGTATCCTGATTATACTTCTGCCATAAAATAAGAGGGGGATCACTGCTAAAGCATCTTTTTTCATTATTGTTCTCAACTTCCCCAATATTTTTTGTACTTGGTTTGCAAACAGAAGTTAATTGAAGGATTATTGCACTAAGTTACAAACAACAGTTATTTTATTAGGCAACTAATTCTCCTTATGGTCATTTGTTCTAAAATCCCTTGTAGAAAAACTGCTTAAGACATTTTACACATTCAAATATGTAAAATGTTCATTAGTTAAATCACTTTTTTAATCCTAAGATATGCTATTAAAATGCTCTTAAACTATCTAACACTCACTGTATATTTAAAACTTCAAACTAACTGATTTCCTCTCTAATCCCAGTTGACCAAGTTCACCTGTTCCCCTGGTCGTAAGTCTCCGACAGGAATGTCAGTGAGTAAAGCCGGGTAGGACTCATCGCACAGTTCTGTTCCATGAAGAGTCACTTGAGTTTTCTGAGTTAAATTGGCATCCTGTCCTAAAAGTGTTAATATTGGTGTTTTAAAATAAAGAAGTCAAACATTATCCTAACAATCAATACTGTGTGAAGAGCACTATGTCATACCTTCTTTTAAACAAAGGCCCTATGGTTAACAACATTGATGCTTATTTTATGTTGGGTTAATACTGATCAAACTTAAAAAGCAAATGCTTACCTGGTTTTAAACCAGCAGTGAGCTTCACGTCTCTGATTTGGGTCTTTTCGTGGGATTGAACAGTCACAACCAAACAATACATTTCGTTAGTCAGGGCAGGAGGCTCATGTCGCAGATGTACAGAAATGTTTGGAACTCTGGAAATGATCCTTTGAAAAGAAATCTTAGCTAAGTTACTGATTTTTAAAAATAAATAAATAAATCACTTTAACAAAGTATTTAAAAGAAAAAAGAGGATGACCTTTAACATCATCTGCCACGCAAAGTACACTCACATTGTGCTTGCCTGAATGATGATGCTGTCCCAGTGAACCTCATTGTCGGGGAGCTTAGGTCGTCTTTTGAAGGATCGAGCTGCCTGTAAAGCTTCTTGGGAGGAAGCAGCATCTCCTCCTCCTCCCTGCCAATTTAAAACCACACATCTCCCCGTCTCATTGCCCAGGGCAAGATCCACTGAAGTAATCTAAAAGAAGAAGGTCTGTCAGAAATGTCATCTTATACTTGCTTGTCACCATCCCCTCTTAACAAAATCATGCTGTACTGTGGAGTTCATTTGGAGACCCACAGTGTAACAGAAAGCAGAACACCTGCTGTTAGAGTCTTATTCTGGCTCTGGGTTAACTGTGCTTCGGGTTTCGATTTCTCTACCTTTAAAACAGAGATAACTTGATTTTCTAGCTGAGAGACCGAGTGTACAGTACTGTTACGATTTCAGCACTTGCAGCATAGTACCTGATGTAACAGATGCCCATTTAGCGGTTGCTGAATGAAATAAATATTTTGATGACCATGAATACATTTATAACCTAATCTATAATTACACAAATATCTTTCCTGAAAATGTTTATAGTACTAGCAATGGAATGCTTTATTAACTGAATAAGTGTTCCTTCCAACTAAATTCATTGACAAAAGGACTCAAAATAGGTTTATTAAATATGATTTCTGTCTGATAGGCTTCCTCATGAAAAAAATAAAATATACAATTAGGGATTTAGTCAAAATCATATAGGATTTTTAAAAAATGAATAAGCAAAAAACTCTGGATACAGGTTAATAATAAAATCAACAAGTTCACAGAAATTATTACAGGAACTTTGGTAGTACAACCTTATGGACCATCTGTCTTAGCAATGGTCCCAAGACTAGATTAGCTAACCATTCCCATTCAAGTCATGGAAAACAAGCACTAAATGAGTGTTTACTCTATGCTAATCACAATTCTAAGCAACTAATGTAATGCTCATGAAATCCTAAGAAACAGGTACAATTATTATACTATCCCCATTTTATAGATGAATACA